CCTTGAAATACTCCTCTCCTTATGATGACTGGCTCTGTTTGGACTCTCGCTTCACCTGATGTTATGGTAAAGCGGGTCTTCCAGACCAGCATCAGTTGTTCTATGCATCTCACTATAGAATCGGGTACCGAAAGACACTTGAGCAAGTACACGAGTAACTCATGTGACGTTGTGTCAAATGCCTTTCGGTAATCGATCCAGGCCACAGAAAGATTCCGCTTGTACTGCACGGAGTCCTGTGTGATAGCTCTATCTATCAACAGGTTCTCCTTGCAGCCAGCGACACCTCTCTTCGACCCACGCTGCTCAAAAATCCGCTGGTAAACCGGGTCAACTACTAGGAGTACTCGCATGTACAAGATGCGTGTGAACAACTTGTAACATGCATTCAGGCAGGTAATTGGCCTGTAATTCTTCGGATTGGACAAATCTCCAGTTTTAGGGAGAAGCACGGTTATTATTATTATTATTATTATTATTATTATTATTATTATTATAATAAGGACCCGCGTGTTACAACAAACTTTTTTGATCTATTATCCATTTCAGTTTGTACCTTGATACCTGAATCACCCTGTATACTATTATCAACAAAAAATAAAAAAACAGTCATATCAACGTGTATGTCTTTATTGATCATCATATGGATATAACAGCGCCAAGGAATTTTAACGAAGCGAACTGTAAATATCACAGGAATCGTAAAACTAGCCAGCCAACTTTCTAATGAGGTATAGGTCCCTGTCTTTGTGCACGTGCTCCTTCTCCAGATAGTCCGAGATCTGTGGTTCGTGGAAGCTTTTGCTTTTCCTCGTAGCCTCACTATGGATGTGGTGAGCCTCCAAAGCGAACCTCTGGTTAACGATGAGATTCAAGGCAAATCGAATTACAAAAATACAACCACAACCCTAAATGCAAATGATTTTAACGAGTATAGTACTTCTATGATCGAGAACGCCCTGAAGAAAATAGCTCCTACTGAGTCAACTGGAGATGAACTAATGGGGTGCACGTTGAAAGATTCTATTTTCCTGAGTCCAACAAATAGTGTGGAAATAAAACGAATTATAAATTCCTTGAAGAAAACTTGAGTGAACCACTAACACACTTAATCAACAAATGCTTGAAGACTGGTCAATTTCCACAGCACCTAAAACAACAATAATAATAATAATAATAATAATAATAATAATATTTATTCACCATTCGAATCGAAAATTACAATTACAATAATTTTAGGTAACGATAAATAAATATAGAATTCCCACAGAAGGATATACCTGTGCGTGGGTTGTAACATATCAATTTGATTTTAACATTACAATGAATATATTATAAAAGTAAAGTTTCGCTCATTATGAAGAAATAGAAAAGAATAGAGAGAAGGAGAAGCACCTGAAGATCTATATATACATACATACACATACACACACACATACATATATATATATATATTCATATATCATATCAGAAATCACCTAGAAATAATTAGCAAAATATCAAAATAACGGATACAAATAGCATATATTTCAAACGAAATTGGAATAGGTATTTGCATCAGACATATACTTACATCAATTGAACGAACAGAAAAATAAGAAGTATTAAACCATGGAGGTATTAAACTGCTGGTTATACATCAGTTCAGTAACATGTGAGTATGTTTACATCTATCTAATCTATACACGACTATTTATGTACTGTAGTGATATGTATTTTTCATATCGACATAATGGTGAATATGTACTCTGGGCAAATTCAGGATCCAAATTTTGAGTTTCTTTTTGAATAAATTATTACTAACGATAGCTTTGATGTCTGCTGGAATGATATTATACAGCCGAGGAGCTAAATAACTATAACACTTTTGTAAAGTGATGTTCTTCTGTGATTTTGGCACATAGGTTGAATTTATTTTGTGGCGAGTTGCATATTGGTGTTCAATTTTTTTGAGTTCATGTTTATTTTTGTGTTGCCTTATAACAGTTTTGAAAAAGTGCAGTTGTCGTATGTCCAGAATTGATGTTTCTTTATATAGCGCTTCTGTAGGGTAAGTCCTTTTTTTATTAGTGATTATTTTCAAAGTCAATTTCTGTATTTGTTCTAGATTTTTTATATGAGAGGCATTTGCTGCTCCCTAGGCAACTATCCCATAGGAGAGGTGGGTTTCAAACAAAGTATAGTAGAGTATGCGCATCTGAGCTATATCTAGATAGGGTGTCATATATTTCATCCTGTATGTTACACTACGCAATTTTCGTACCAAATAATCAATATGTGCGTCCCATTTCAAGTGAGCGTCTATATATATGCCAAGATACTTTATTTTGTTTACTGGTGAGATAGATTCATAACACCGATAATATCTAAAAATATAGAAATTATTGTTGAAGACAGGGTAGAGTCAGTTTTCTTGAGAAGGGCAAACACTTGGATGATCATTAGTATGGATTAGGATCCCTCAGATCAACTACACAACCGGTTACTGAAATGGTCCATCAAATTGAAAAAAATAGAGACGCAGGATTGCAGACTCGAGCAATCCTGTGCGACCTATCGAAAGCGTTTGATAGTGTTTCCCACGACATCCTGTTAGGAAAGCTTCATAAATACGGAATTCGAGGCACAGCTCTCAACTTGATGAAATCATACTTAAATAACAGATCTCAGTATATGTCATGTAACGGTGAAAACTCCAGCACTGTACAAGTTAAGCATGGAATGCCACAGGGATCAGTCCTGGGACCTTTATTATTTATAATCTATATAAATGATCTACCGAAATTCATCGATACAGCTGATGTTTTCATATACGCGGATGATTCAACTGTTCTACTCCAAGATGAATCACTTCTAGAAATCTCTAGAATGTCAGGGGGAAACATACTATCAAAAAGTCTATATACTTCAACTCTAACGCACTTTCTTTGAACATGAACAAGATCAAAACGATAATCTTCTCAAAAAATGAAGCCGATGCGGATGATGAACTATGGTGAAACTTCTTGGTTTTTATGTAGATTCGGAACTCAACTGGAAAATACATATAAGTGAATTGGAAAGAAAGTTATTGAAATGTCAATACTTAATAAGGAATCTCAGGGAAATATTATCGCCTGAGGTACGAGGTACTATTTACGATTTACTAGTGAGCCAGAAAAAAAATATTAGAACCATGGCCAAAGTGGGTCCAAGGGAACATGCAAAGTCCCTTTTCGTAGAGATGGAGATTTTGACTCTGCCCTGTATTTATATAATAGAGGCAATCCTATGGATACATGATAATAAAATCAAAAATACAACTGGAACACAAATTCACAACTACAACACAAGATACAAGAATTTGTATAGATTACCACAAGTGAATTATATCAGAACCAGGAAGCAAGACAGAATATCTGCCTCTGAAATATATAATACCATACCAGTGGATTTGAAGGATTATTCCTCAAAAATACTCAAATAAGTACTGGAAATTAATAACTGACATTTACATTCATAAATATTAGTGCAGATAAGTGTACAAATTACTTTGTGTTTATGTTATATTTGTTCATTCATGTTCTGATGATTTTATCATACATTGTCTGATTGCAGGGTTGGCAAATATCATGATATTTATATATATATCAAAATATCATAATATCGGATATATATCCGATATATATCAGAAATTTCGATTTTGTTCCTAGGCTGATATGCCAAAAAAAACCACAATATAAAATACCTTTATTTTGGTAAAAACAAAAATCAAACTTCAGTTTAATTCTCGGTTTAATTTGAAATAACAAAACACGAAACAAAAAATAATATTTTTCCGAAAATATGTAATATATGGTAATATAAAAAACTTGTCGTTTGATAAATTTTTAAGGATTGCAAAACCGGGAAAGAGGAATATAATCATCATTATCAATATTATCATCTTCACTCAAGGCAACTAATTCATCATTCGACGAGATCCAGTCCAAGCTTTTGGCTTTTTTATCTGTATTTGGGTTTAAACATTTAAAAATAAATACTAGCTTACTGGCTTTTTCGTTGCCTAGACGATTTCTTAATTTAGATTGAACTATTCCAAAACTCGAAAAAAATTCTTTCTAAATCAGCTGTTGCCGCTACTGCACTGAATAACTGCTCACATAGTTGTAAGAAGAGTTCTTTTTTGGCCATTTCGAGTCAGGAATTGCAGCCGATTTCCACCAAATCGTTGTGTGCGTGAGGCCTGTTTGTTTGTATTGCTAAACTTGCTGAAGTTGATTCTTTTTCCATAGTTGTCTCTGTTCATGGCATGATGTAAACAAAGTAAGTCATAGCAGGTAGAGCAAGGACAAATGAACACGCCTGATGTACCATGTACCTAACAAGCAGTAAACAAAAACCGGGGATTCCCCGAGTTGTAAGTTATAACCACGAAACGCACTGTTGTCAGGTATTCATTTTTAACGCAAAATATCAAGGATTTTTTGCTCCGGTATTTATTTTGTTAAAAAGAAGTAAATGATATATATCATGATATATATCAATCAATAAATATCAGATATATATCATGATACATATCATGATATATATCACTTGATATATATCGGCCAACCCTGTCTGATTGCATGCAGGAATATGTAGTCCAAATATTTTTATTGTGTTTTAGTGATTTAAAATTACCAATTTTGACGTACCTCAGCAAATCGTTAGCTTCGGGTTCTACCTGTTCACATATACCGATCTTGTAGTTTGCAGGCAAATAAATATCTTATCTAATCATCTCCCACAACGTTAAAGTTCATATCTTCCCTGCGTCTCGCGATGTATTTGATAGATAGTTGGTCAATAAAATATAGTGACTGAATCATAATATCTCAATCGGACAAGATATTATGAAGTCTGCTTTGTCAATATACACCTGGATTAATCTTCTTGATACTCCAATTAATGAATTCACGTCTAATTAATTGTTATTTCTGCAGTTCTCTCATGGAAAAGTTCGTTACCCTTTGGTACTTATTTCATAATAACCTCTCAACAATATAATATACTATCAACAAAAAATGAAAAACGGTCATATCAACGCATACCTTTATTGATCTTCACAGATATAACAGCCTCAAGGAAATGTAACGAAACGAACTGTAGATATCACATGAATCATAAAACTACTCTAAAATCAAATGTACTGAAAAAAACCTTCTCACTGCTTCTGGAGGTAGTCATCGAACAAGAACAACGACAAGGAACTATCGGGCCCGTTGAGTAGAGCGCTGAGATCAGTCGTGTACCCAGCCAACTTCCTAACAAGGTCCCTGTCTTTGTGTACGTGCTCCTTCTCCAGATAGTCCGAAATCTCTGGATCGTGGAAGCTCTTGCTCTTCCTCGTAGCCTCACTATGGATGTGGTGAGCCTCCAAAGCGAATCTCTTCTCATTATCCAGAGCCCTAGCGATAGCGCTGAGCTCGTACAGCTCGAAGCTTCTGTCCTCCTCGGCCTCCTGGAGCAAGTCATCTCCCACGACGTTGAAGTTCATCTCCCCTCCACGTTTGGCGATGTACTTGATGACCTCGATGCCGTGGCTCCATTTGTCGTCGGAGAGGCCTCGGAAGAGTTTTTCGAAGCCGGGACGGTTCTTCTCGTAGTTGGCGAAGTGAGTGGACATGAGGAGGTACTCGAAGGAGCGGACTAGATGGAGGTTGGCGTACTTCTGAAGGTCGGCTTGGACGGCGTCGATGGCGCCATATTTGGCCGTACAGTTCAGGCCGGTTGTGTCTAGAATAGAAAATAATAATCAATATTTGTAGGAAATAAACCATAGGAAAACATAATAGACCAGGGTCGATAATTTTTCCAAACCGAAAAAAAATATGGTAGAATAAAACCCATTGAAAAAAAAAATGGGAATATAGCAAAAATGAAAGAAAATAGTATATTGTGCAACAAGTGGGAAAAGTTCAACTTTTCTCACGAGTGTGGAAGTTTGTGGCACGAGCCTGAAAGGCGAGTGCCGCAAACACACGAGTGAGGAAAGTACTTTTCCCCACATGTTGCACACTATACTTTTTCTACGACTGCACATATTCAAAGAACAATGTAACTCAATTTTTATTTTTTATGGGTTATAGCAGAACTAAAATAACATAACATAATAACAAGTTTCCTACCTCTTAACAGTTGAATTATTCATTTGAAATTATAGTTAATTGTGAAATTCTTACAATTTTGTATGGTCAAACCAGGAAAGTCATTGTTTTTGAGTAAATTTTCTGTTATATTAATTGTAGAAGTAGAAGTTGAAGGTTGATTATTTATGTACAGTGGTGCATTTTCTGTCTCCATTTCAGTGAATAGTTCTACTGGTTTTTCAATAGAGTCGACGATTTTATTTGCAACGTCCATTTTATTTTTAATAGAGTCTCCGACGTATCCTTCTGCCACGGTACTGGATTGCCATCCTCCATGGCGCTTTAAGGTTAATATGTCACCTCCTGCATTTACTAAAATTGTTGCCGAAGAACGTCTGAAGCAGTGTCCTGTATATAAATGGGGATTTTCCAATTTTAAAAAAATTGCAATTCTCTTTGCCATACTACCAAATTTGTTGATGCCGACTACTTGTCTAGTACATTTTCCGTTCTGGTAATTCAAGAAGAAACGTTTTTCTGCCAAATCATTCGGTCGAAGAGCGGCATATTTTTTATATATATTATAAAATTCCCCCGTTACAGTGAAAGTTCTTGGCTTCTTTGTTTTGGTGTTATCTAATTTCACCAACAAAGCCGAATTTAGATCCTCTAAATCATCGACTTTTAATTTCCACAGTTCATCTCTACGACATGCCCCTGCTACGCCAATAGCCACTGCAACCTACAAATAAAAATATCAGGATGTAAAATCATTTATATAATTAAAAAAATATATCATCCCTGGCCGGGAATTGAACCCCGGGCCGCTAGTATCCTAAGCGGAAGCACTACCACTACACCACGGAGTAGTTATTAAAATATTTATTCATAGGCATATACTCATCTTCCACAATATGAAATTGACTTTTTGAAGATTATCTAATTATTTTTACCTACTGAATACACCCACTAACTATAAAAAGCTGTTAATTCGAGGAAAAAAGCGGAAGAAATTCGAAAAATAGTTCAATTTAAATAATAAACCCACCTTTATTAGTAGATATTCCTTGTTTGGAGCTTCTTTTAAAAATCTCTGCAATTGGTCGGCTGTTAATATGTTTGATTTCTTTGGGAAGTAATTGTCAGACTTTCTTTTCAAAAATGCACGTAATTTTTGATACGTGGATATATCAATGTTATGTTTAATACTGATGGTACTTTTCAACATCGAATATTGTGACCAAAGTGTTGACGCCTTCAAAGTTTTCGACATTTCTTCGAAGTATACAAAAAGTACACTTTCCGAAAACGATTTTATTTTCGTATTTCTTCTCCATTCCATGAATTTCCCATATGCCAATTCATACTTCTTTCGGGAAATTTCCGGCAACAAATCTAATGTTACTTTTGCCGCTTGTTCCAATATTTCTGGTGGAGTATTGTCAAAATCGTCACTGCTTTCATAAGTTTCCATATTATTTACCTATCACTGGTACAAATATGTATATTATGTCTTACTAATATTCAATGAAATTGCGATTTTTTATCGAAACACGATTGATAACTACCTCAAAAATTGAAATAAATTCTGTTGACAGTTGTTCGTGACAACAGCGGCCAACTAAGTTTTTGTCGATTTTAGTTGATTCTCCATATAAAAGGTACCTACTATGCGTGGTGTTGGCAAAGTGCTGTGAGAAATAATATTTCTCACAGGTATGAGCAATTCGTGGTTTTGAAATTGAGTAAGCCATGAGAATTACGCTACTTTTCATAGCAGTCGTAGAAAAAATAAATTAGAGTCGATCTGAGATCGAGAAGTGGAAGGGGGTGAGCTTTTAAGGGTGAAAAACGTTTAATCTCGATTTCTTGCGAAAATACAGGTCCTATGGAAAGAATTGAAATAGCAAAGTTGTAGGTAATAAAAAGATTTATAACTCATGTGAATATACGTTTTTCAAATAATCTTGAAATGTATGTAAAAAATTCGAATAACCCAGTTTTTGGTTTTTTTATTTTCATCTTTTGGAAAATAAAAACAATCACGAAACTTGGTGAACACTCACCTCTTCATGTCCCAAATACACTGTTTTTTTTTATTTGAAACATTCTGTTTTTCACCTTATTCTGACTTAATATCGAAAATTCTCGCGTCGAAATATCTGCTTTTTCAAAAAATTCGGTGGGCTTTTTCTCTTCTCTTCTTTTTGATGGTGTTAAAGATATATACATTACAAGAGTGAATGTTCTCAGAAAATGCAATAAAACATAACTCGAATCCGATTTTTTTTTTAAATCAATATGAACAATTTTGAGCTATTCATTAAAATTAACACTAATTATTAGGAAAACGTAAGATTCCATGTTCATTTGATGAACAAAAAATTTCAAATCCATTATTATTGCAAAAATACGTGCGAAAATAGTTGTTCTAAATATTGAAGGGGATTTCATCTAAAAAATGAGACTGCTGATTTTTCGTTTCTTCGCATTTTCTGAGAACAATTACCACAGTAATGTATACAGGGTGTCCGGAGATAAAACCGACAAGACTTGTGGGGTTATAGGGTCTGTCAATATGATTGCAAAATGCCATAAACCAATGCCCAAAAACCGCTTCGTTATTGACATACAGAGTGATTTGTGGATTTTGACAAAAAATTCAATCCGCCATATCAAATACAGGGATCAACCGATTAGATTCAAATTTAGTACACGAATTACACTGAAAAGCATCAACAAGTAGCCCTTTGATCGAAACCAATATCAGGACCGGAATGATATTTTTCCCCTATATTGAGTTATTGTGAGAATAACTCACCCTGTATAATTATAAAAAAAAATTTCCACTCAGATTCGACATCTACAGTAAAAATTGTATAGGAATTTGTTGAAAAATCTCCTGGCACTATCTTAGTTATTCTGTAATTAATTATTATTTTAATTTTTTTCTTTTAAAATTCAATTATTGTCGGATAAAGTAATATCCAAATTGGTAATATAATAAATATTAACGAAACCATGACATGAATATCGTTATTTTCTTCAATCAGTCCGTAAATCGTAGTAAAATAAAATACTCATTACCCGAAAAAACTGAAAAATAAATTCGTATCAGTACTGAAATGCGGTTTTCTATGATTAAGTATATTTCTGTAAGAATAGATGATCTAGAATAACAATGACCTGATCGCAGATTCGAAATGCACTGAGAAAAGTTAAAAACTTGTTGAAAAATGATCGGATTGAACTTTCGAATAATAAATCCGTATCAGTACCTTATAATGTTTGTGTATAAAGAATACTAGGCTTGTGTCAAATTCAGAATTTCATTATGGAAAACCTTTGTTCAGCTGTCATCAGCGTTTGTTTTATTGGTGTTCATTCATTATTCTAGTGTTTTTAGGATAAAACTATAGTTCTGAGAGTGTGCTTATGATGCCGTTTCATTTCACTTATGAGGAATACGCAGATATTCTATTTGTGTTTGGGCTTTAACTGGTGATGTTTACCTAAATTTCCTGGTCAATACTTGACCGGATCTATTGCAAGGTGTAAATACCTGAGGTATATGGTTTCAGCATGATGGTGCTAGACCTCACTTTTCAGTTCCAGTTAGAAACCATCTCGATGCCAATTACCCCAATAGATGGATTGGCCGTGGATGTTCAGTAAATTGGCCACCGCTATCCCCTGATCTAACTCAGCTAGATTATTTTTTATGAGGTCATTTAAAGTAAGAAGTTCATAATGAAGAAATTTTTTATGGGAAATTACTACTGCATGTGTTAGTGTTAGAAATAACCCTCAAATAATTCGCAAGTTAGTGAATCATCTAATAGCACACTCTCAAAAATGTATTGATGTTGGAGGGCTCCACTTTGAAAATGTTTTGTAATACTGGGTAGTGAAAGTTTCTCACGAATTTGTTGCTTTTGTTATGTTCATTACAAACAGTTATTGTTCGTTGTGTAGTATTCTCATAAATTCAAATTCATTAGTGAGCGAATATAATTTACGAAAACTTCACTGTTATCCTTCTTCAACAGGTTCTTATACGATTTTTTCAGATTCCGAATCTACGATCAGATTATTGATAACTATTGATGTACTAGGTCAGCTAACATGACCAAACAAAACACTCATTCTAGTCCTGATACGAATTTATTCTTCAGTTTTTTCGGGTTATGAGAATATTTCTCTTTACTCCGATTCATGAACTGATCGAAGAAAATAACGACATTCATGTCATGGTTTCGTAAATATACGTACTTTATCCGACAATGATTGATTTTTCAATGAAAAAATTCAAAATAATAATTAATTACGGAATGATTAAGATGGTGCCAGATTTTTCAAAAAATTCCTATACAATTTTCACCGTATATTGCGAATCTGAAATGACATTTTTTGTTATTATGATACAGGGTGAGTTATCCTAACAATAACTCAACATAGGGGAAAAATATTATTCCGGTCCTGATATTGGTTTCGATCAAAGGGCTACTTGTTGATGTTTTCCAGTGTAATTCGTGTACCAAATTTGAATCCAATCGGCTAATCCCTGTATTTTATATGGCGGATTGAATTTTTTGTCAAAATCCACAAATCACTCTGTATCTCAGTAACGAAGCCGTTTTGGACATT